AAAAAAAAAAGGTGTGTCTTATTGGTACAGGTAACATGACGGAATTAATTTAATTTTTAAGTCCAGGGTTTAATGATGCTATATTAGAAAGGAATAAATAACAATTTATGAATGTTTTCAAATCGACTTAAACTGTCATTTAACCATATCAGAAAGCTATCGATATTACATGTTAGGAATTTGACAACATATAACCAAAGTGTTTTACCTATTAAACATAATACATAAAATGTACCCCCTTCCAAAGGGTCAACAGATGACCCTTGGGTAATAAATTAACAATTTAGATAAAGCATGTATGGACATTTCCATCCATCAAGAGTACTAGTATTGGATTCTAGTAAATCTGAGTCTTGACAACTCTCGCTCCAGAGGCAATACAGAATCGTCTTTTCTGATACAATGTCATTGCCATCTCATCATATTTATTCCAACCAAGTTTTAATGATTAGCTGCTGAAAATGGGTAAAATATACCCGAAAGTGTCACTTGCCTATATAAACTAGAACTGTCGCCTATTGGCTACCTAATACCTCAGTAGAATAGCTACTTTGTTGTGGATAAACTTGATGATGGAACTGTTAGTAAAATTTTAAAGACACATTTTGTTCAGTACCTAATAGTGTTATGAATCAAAGTAAAGATCTATAATGTATTCAACAGATGTGGAAAAACCTCAATTACATCGCAGGGGTTCGTTACCAATGTCTGAAATACACATGTACATGCTATACTGATATGGTTCACAGCACACATTAACTATGTGTGCTGTGAACCATATCAGTATAGCATGTGTATTTCAGAGGTTTGTATCGACATGCATACAGTGGACGGTGTACGGTCACATTAATTGTTTAAGTTTCGTCAAACAAATGACCTGTAGGTCATGTGTCGTGGCTTAAGTACAAACGGAGTTTCATCTGGCCCTGACACTAAATGTAAGCCCCATATAAAGCCCCGTCTCTGATTTAAGACATTTTTACAAAATAGACGTCCGGTGTTGGGCCAGAGAGGAAAAGGTGGAGTTCTCTGACAACGATACGTTTGGTAGCCCAAAGTTTTGAGGAATTAACAACAAAAACTGATATAAAACAATAAATAAGCTTACCTCACATATATCAATAAAGTTGATCTAAAACCGCCTTAATTATCATGGACAGCTGCCATCACGGACTTAGATTCCGTGCTAATCTAATTCCGTGCTAATCTAATTCCGTGCTGCTATATTCCGTCACTAGAGTCTGCGGTTATCGATTGTTCCAAATGTTCCACCTGAGCGACATTTAGCACTGTAATGTTTTGAGCAGAATAACCCCATAAAAGACAGACATTTAAACTCTCATTAGAATGTATTTGTACTGTAACTGTTACAGACTGGATTCGTTATCACGGTGACAGTAACCGACTTCGATGCAGTCGGAACATCTAACACCATGGACATTATGGTACAATCTGAGAATGTTAACTTGGCGGCAGGGCCTGTCCACAACGGTCTCAGCCTCAGGGGGTCTAGGGGCAGGTAAGCGGTCTCAGCCTCAAGGGGGCTAGTGGCAGGTAAGTCCGATAAACAACAGTCTCAGGGGCCCGTCCACAACGGTTGCAGTCCAAAGGGGTCCAGGGGCAGGTAAGTCCCATAAACAATAGTCCCAGGGCATTAGGCGCCTTTTTTCAGTCTCGATGATGGAGGTATCTGAAGGTTACTTCCGCCAGCAAGGGAAGTAGTTATTCTCTACAATGATCTCAGTCTCGGGGAGATGGAGAAAGCATAGGTTACCTCCGCCAGCAAGGTAAGTAATTATAGTCTACAATAATTGTCCAAACGAGAAATTCATTCAGATACATTTTCTGATAAATAGATTAAACTTACAACATGATCTGTGTATCGTTTATAATGCCCTCGTTAAAATTTACTCGGTTTGTTGGAAAATGCTGGTACGTAATCCTAACTTTACAAGGCACTGACCAATCCCATATCTCTCCGACCATTCGTTGTATAAATTGATCCACCTTCACCTAATATAAGATCCATGATTTGACCACAACGTTACATTGGAGTCACTTTATCATTACAATCAAAATGATTGCATATTCCTTTTTTTTTCAATTTTTCGCGTGATGAATATAACAGGAAAATAAACTATGGAAATCCAAAACGTTTTCACCCCTTAAAAAACTTAATGATACAAATAATGAAAATCCAAGGTTTCATTCACTTTAAATTCTTCTCTGTGAGCTATACGTATGTTGACCTAGATTTACATGACAAGTTTCGTTAATGAAGCAGAGGACCTTATCAAGATGTTCATACAGTATTTTGTTCTAGAACATCTATTTTGCATTTGATTGTTTCACTTACACTTTAAAAACGTATATAAAGAAATATAAACATGTTTATACGTTACACCTTGTAAACAAGTACACGCTTCTACCTGCAACCAAAACGAATATGTTAAAAACAACTTATTTTGCTTAATGTATTACAGTGCCCACATGATCATTGTTGAATACAGATTTTTTTGTTGTTGAATTAGCTAGCAGAAAAAAACGTATTCTATCAGTAGATTATCAGTATTTAATTGGGGCTGTGTCCTGTTGTCAAAGCTTTGACAGAAAAGACGTTAATGTGATTCCGAGTAAAATCCTTAGATTGCAGCTGGAGTACAGCCTTCAGTGTGACCCGGGATATTACGGTAACTGCGCATTAAGTTGTTCACCGAAAAACAACTCCTACTGCAGTCCGTCTGGCACACTGGTGTGTCTACCAGGTATGTGATTCTGACGTCGTAACTATCTAACATTATAGCAAAAATGTTAGGTGAATACAAATGATCAAATGGAAATGAAAAAGAATCGTTAGAAATTAAAAATATGTGTTGCAACGACCTGTTATCAGTATGATAAGAATTAAACAGCCCCTGTTTTTGTCAGTAATAGAGTTTTGTTATTCCATTAACTCTAACATTTCCATTAACTCTAACATTTCCATTAACTCTAATATTTCCATTAACTCTAACATTTCCATTAACTCTAACATCTGGATACAGGTTTTACTGGCAGTGACTGTAATACGGATATTGACGAGTGCCTGAGCAGCCCGTGTCTCCATGGAGGTACATGTGTGGATGGGAACAACAGCTTTTCCTGCCTGTGTCCGCACGGCCGAGCCGGTAAGTGACTGAACAGGAACAATACCTTTACGTGTCTGTGTGTTCACGCCCTAACAGGTGCGTGACTGAACAGGAACAATATTTTTGCGTGTCTGTGTGTTCACGACCTAACAGCTAACAGGTGAGTGACCGAAAAGGAACAATAGCTTTACGTGTCTGTGTCCGGACGACCTAACAGGTGAGTGACTGAACAGGAACAATAGCTTTACATGTCTGTGTCAGCACGACCTAACAGGTGAGTGACTGAACTGGAACAATATCTTTACGTGTCTGTGTGTTCACGACCTAACAGGTGAGTGACTGAACGGGAACAATAGCTTTACGTGTCTGTGTGTTCACGACCTAACAGGTTAGTGACTGAACAGGAAAAATATTTTTGCGTGTCTGTGTGTTCACGACCTAACAGCTAACAGGTGAGTGACCGAAAAGGAACAATAGCTTTACGTGTCTGTGTGCTCACGACCTAACAGGTGAGTGACTGAACAGGAACAATAGCTTTACATGTCTGTTTCAGCAAGACCTAACAAGTGAGTGACTGAACAGGAACAATAGCTTTACATGTCTGTGTCAGCACGACCTAACAGGTGAGTGACTGAACGGGAACAATAGCTTTACGTGTCTGTGTGCTCACGACCTAACAGGTGAGTGACTGAACAGGAACAATAGCTTCACGTGTCTGGGTGCTCACGACCTAATAGGTGAGTGACTGAACAGGAACATTAGCTTTACGTGTCTGTGTCCGCACGACCTAATAGGTTAGTGACTGAACAGGAACAATAGCTTTATGTGTCTGTGTGCTCACGACCTAACAGGTGAGGGACTGAACAGGAACAATAGCTTTACGTGTCTGTGTGAGGAACAATATCTTTACGTGTCTGTGTGTTCACGACCTAACAGGTGAGAGACTGAACAGGAACAATAGCTTTACGTGTCTGTGTCCTCACGACCTAACAGGTGTGTGACTGAACAGAAACAAGATTTTTGCGTGTCTGTGTGTTCACGACCTAACAGCAAGACCTAACAAGTGAGTGACTGAACAGGAACTATAGCTTTACATGTCTGTGTCAGCACGACCTAACAGGTGAGTGACTAAACGGGAACAATAGCTTTACGTGTCTGTGTCCGCACGACCTGATAGGTTAGTGACTGAACAGGAACAATAGCTTTATGTGTCTGTGTGCTCACGACCTAACAGGTGAGAGACTGAACAGGAACAATAGCTTTACGTGTCTGTGTGAGGAACAATATCTTTACGTGTCTGTGTGTTCACGACCTAACAGGTGAGAGACTGAACAGGAACAATAGCTTTACGTGTCTGTTTCCGCACGACCTAACAGGTGAGTGACTGAACGGGAACAATAGCTTTACGTGTCTGTGTGCTCACGAACTAACAGGTGAGTGACTGAACAGGAACAATAGCTTTATGTGTCTGTGTGCTCACGACCTAACAGGTGAGGGACTGAACAGGAACAATAGCTTTACGTGTCTGTGTGTTCATGACCTAACAGGTGAGTGACTGAACAGGAAAAATATTTTTGCGTGTCTGTGTGTTCACGACCTAACAGGTGAGTGACTGAACAGTAACAATATTTTTGCGTGTCTGTGTGTTCACGACCTAACAGGTGAGTGACTGAACAGATACAATAGCTTTACGTGTCTGTGTCCGGACGACCTAACAGGTGAGTGACTGAACAGGAACAATAGCCTTACGTGTCTGTGTGTTCATGACCTAACAGGGGAGTGACTGAACAGGAAAAATATTTTTGCGTGTCTGTGTGTTCACGACCTAACAGGTGTGTGACTGAACAGAAACAAGATTTTTGCGTGTCTGTGTGTTCACGACCTAACAGCAAGACCTAACAAGTGAGTGACTGAACAGGAACTATAGCTTTACATGTCTGTGTCAGCACGACCTAACAGGTGAGTGACTAAACGGGAACAATAGCTTTACGTGTCTGTGTCCGCACGACCTAATAGGTTAGTGACTGAACAGGAACAATAGCTTCACGTGTCTGGGTGCTCACGACCTAATAGGTGAGTGACTGAACAGGAACAATAGCTCTACGTGTCTGTGTGTTCACGACCTAACAGGTGAGTGACTGAAAAGGAACAATAGCTTTACGTGTCTCTAATAGGTTAGTGACTGAACAGGAACAATAGCTTTACGTGTCTGTGTCCGCACGACCTAATAGGTTAGTGACTGAACAGGAACAATAGCTTCACGTGTCTGTGTGCTCACGACCTAATAGGTGAGTGACTGAACAGGAACAATAGCTTTACGTGTCTGTGTCCGCACGACCTAACAGGTTAGTGACTGAACAGGAACAATAGCTTTATGTGTCTGTGTGCTCACGACCTAACAGGTGAGTGACTGAACAGGAACAATAGCTTTACGTGTNCACAGGAACAATAGATTTACGTGTCTGTGTGTTCACGACCTAACAGGTGAGTGACTGAACAGTAACAATAGATTTACGTGTGTGTGTGTTCACGACCTAACAGGAGAGTGACTGAACAGGAAGAATATCTTTACGTGTCTGTGTGTTATATCTTTACGTGTCTGTGTGCTCACGACTAAACAGGTGAGTGACTGCTCAGGAACAATAGATTTACGTGTCTGAGTGTTCACGACCTAACAGGAGAGTGACTGAACAGGAACGATAGCTTTACGTGTCTGTGTCAGCACGACCTAACAGGTGATTGACTGAACAGGAACAATAGCTTTTCGTGTCTGTGTCCGCACGACCTAACAGGTGAGTGACTGAACAGGATCAATAGCTTTTCGTGTCTGTTTCCGGACGACCTAACAGGTGATTGACTGAACAGGAACAATAGCTTTACGTGTCTGTGTGCTCACGACCTAACAGACGAGTGACTGAACAGGAACAATAGCTTTACGTGTCTGTGTGCTCACGACCTAACAGGTGAGTGACTGAACAGGAACAATAGCTTTACGTGTCTGTTAGCTCACAACCTACTAGGTGAGTGACTGAAAAGGAACAATAGCTTTACGAGTCTATGTCCGCACGACCTAACAGGTTAGTGACAGAACAGGAACAATAGCTTTACGTGTCTGTGTGTTCACGACCTAAC